GCTTGCATAGATTCACTGCCATCTTTGTACTGCTTGTCACAAATTGATTGTTCCTCATGTGACCTACCTTCTCCTCCCAGTTGTCTGGCTGTTTTTCTGATGTAACATCCTGGATAGTCTGTAACTAGTTCAAGCTCAGAATGGTCATAAATGACATCTCCCCCCTCACCATTTCAAGCTCTTGTTGCTTCTAAACTGCTGGCAATTTTGTTCCCTGCCTCTCAGGCTCAAAATTATGGGATCCAAGATTCTGCTGCAAAGTTAATTTCTGTCCCATTAGTCTTTGTTTTGGATCATGTTGCTTCCCTTGGCACTTCACTACCTATTGCACCAAATTCAAATGCCTCATTTAAGGGCCTGCATCTCTCTGTCCCATTTTGCACCTTTCATCTTGTTTCTTTTGGTCCCTCCCCCATCATCTCAGCACTGCCTGTAATACCAACCTTGCTACACACGCTGTGTCCTCCACGGATGCCCGTTGCCTTCTTTAATGTGTGGTGTAGCCTCCCAGACTCAAATCACCAGGTCCTGTACCTCTTCATTCAAAACCCTCATGTAGCCTTACTACTTCCACACAGTCTACAATTACATCCCAAGTCAGTCACATAGGCCTGGTCTACACTAGGCCCTTAGTTCGAAATAACCCCCCAAGTTCGAATTAGTAAGCAGTGCGTCCACACTAACAAGCCTGTTATTTTGAAATAAGGGTCTGTGGAATTTAACTCCGTATTCCTGCTTTTCAGGGGGAATAATACTACTTCCAAACTTGTAAGGCCAAAATAATGTTAGTATGGACATTCCAGTGCCACTAATTTGAATTTATTGACCTCTGGGAGGCCTTCCGCAGCTCTCCAGAGTACTTCCTGAGGCTCTAAGTCCAAAGCAGCGTGTTCACGTTAATGGAGCCTGCCTTGGACTAATTTCAATGCTTCCCTGCAATGAGGACATGCAAGTTTGAATCTGTTAAATTGGGAGTTCATAAGCCAAATTTAGTAATTTCAAAATAATTTCCTAGTGTAGACATGGCCACACACTTTCTGCCCCAGCATGATGTGAGAGAAGTAGCAGTGGGTGAAGAAAAGCAGAGATTTAAAATAAGAGCACTACACTCATCAAGGTGTATCTCTCTGTCCCATTTTGCACTTTTCATCTTGTTTCTTTTGGTCCCTCCCCCATCGTACTATTGCTGAGAACTTGCCTCAGGTGCCGGATTATCGGAAGTTTACTGTAGTTACTAAGTACCTGTATAAATAAAATTCATGTTGAGACTATTGAATATGGTGTATGCTGTAAATATGACTTATAGGCATGTAGTATATATTATAAATTACATCGTGTTATACAGATGTGAGCCTGATGCACTCTAGAGCAAATGTGTTGCATCCATTTTCCATTTGTTGACTTGAATAAATAACTACAGGGCTGGCCTGAGTAAAAGTGGCACCCTGGACAAATTTGTATTGTGGTTCCCTTTTTCTGAGCTTTGGTCTACAGTTTGGTCATACACCTTAAATTTACTGGAGAAGCTTTCAAGTTACAGGAGGGACTGTTCATCTACAGCAGAGGCCACCACAAATGGCAAGGGAAGCTCATATGCTAAGGGTGCTCACAGTAGCACCGCAAGCTATGGCACAAGCAGTAAGAATGCCCAGCTGGCAACTGTGAGAAGCACGAGGGAGTGGTAGCACTGTGAGAAACAAACTGAATCCCAGTAGTACAGCACATACCTGGGCCTGAAGACTGTTTCCCTGAGCTGCCAGGAATCTGCCCAGTGTGGGGAAAATCAAGTAACTCCAATTGTGTCTAAGGGGGGACTGTGCAGGAAATCAAAACTCTCTAAAAGAAAACTGCTGTAAGGGTTAAAAAGTTTTCCAGGCCTCTCTCCCTGTATCAGAGTGAAATCAAATTAGCTCTAATCAAGACCCTTACAATGCCTATCTCAAGTTCATGAATACTCCTAGTCTGTCACAATTTGTCATGTAAACCCTTATCTTTGTCACAGTTTGCCTTGTAGACTTCTCCACTCCACATTCTCATATGGCTTTGTTCTGTAAAACTTACTTCTAGCACTCCTGGGGTGAACAGAAGTCTCAGAGTGCTTCTGCTGAGACTTTGATATGTTAAAGAAAAACAATCAACAACTGAACTGTCTAAGCATTCTGTATATAGGATACCTGAATCTGTCTGCCAGTGCTGCTTCCCTCTTGGAAGTGACAGCCTGCATGCATGCATCATAAAGTTTTCTCTTCTAGGTTTCTCTCCTGCCTCACTGATTTGACCTCCGGCCTCGGACCCTTCTGGGGGCTCTGTACCCCAGGGGAGCGAGATTTCCCCCTCACCAGGAAGCCCTGTTGCCTCCATTCCTGATCACTGCCCAGCTCCAGGCAGTGCTGTACGCCTCCAGCTGTGCTCACCACTAGGCCCAAATATGTCCTGTCCTCTCCTGCACCACAGGCATTTGGGGGCAGGTGAAGGGCTATCCTGTTGGGTGGGCTGCCCCAGGCAATCTGGAGTGAGTACAGGAGACACCAAGCAGAATCAAGGAGCACTGTCCCTGGTGCTTACCTTGCCCCCCAGCCCAGGACTCTCACCTTTTAATCCTCTCGACCACAGTGCCCTGGGAGGTTGTGCATGTTGTCCACCCATAAGACCAGCCTTGAATAACTACTTGAATATATTGAACATATTCAATGAAAGCAATGCCTGAGGGCCCAATGCTGCAAGGCAGTGAGTACTCTCAACTCCTATTTACTTCCCTGTATGATTGAGCCCTATATAATGTATCTTGTTAGTGTACATTGTCATATTAGTATTCCCTGGCTTATATTCTGCTGCCTATTGCCACACTTGTCTCTGGACTCCTCCCTCGTTTTAAAGTGCTACATTGTCCTGCATTTTCCCTCGTTTTAGGCATTCTTCTTGGCCAGTGTCATGATGCCTTTCAGGCCCTCTACAGGGTTCCTAGCAAGCTAAGTA